GAAAGTCTTTGAGAGCAAGTTGTGCTAGTCCAGAGGTTTTAAACACGTCTATTATAATAGATGTGGTAGAGGTACTGAAAGATCAAAGACGATCCCACCGTCCACCCACAGCGGTTTTCAACACGACTCTTTTTCCTCCCCATCCCCCGTCCTCTTTGAAGGCGTGAATGATTGGTTCGTCTCATGCATGACTTGCCTGAAAAGAATGAAATATTTTTCACTCAAATTTTGCTTCTTCTATGGGCCTGGCCAACTGCCAGGCGTTGCTAAAAGCATTAGCCCAGTCTCCCTGAACTTTTCTATTCAAGCCGGGTCGCAGACTTCGATAACCGCGATCTTTAACAGTACTGACCTCCTTTTGTGCTAACAGTACACGATTTTGACCAGTGAGGTTAAACTAGATTGGAGGAGTCCTCCAGAACACGGGTATTGTTGTTTTCTTGTGTGAAAAATATTTTGCCACGTTCATAATTACTATCAGATACGTTGTATAAATATGATATTTGAATCGTGTGTGGACTTTATATTTTGTATTGCGAACATCAGAGGCAGCTCAGAGAAAACTGATAGATTAGGTTTATGTACTGTTGTAAACGCGCCATCTACCGATGTTTGACAAAACTTCGTGATACCTTTGTTCGTAAACCTTGCCCTTATCTAAACGTTGCCCTTTAGTTCGAAACGAAAACGTGTTTCAGAATTGTGTTAGAGAAGTGATGTAACACCTTACAGCCTATGTCAAGGTCCAGTCTTTTATCTTTCTACAAAGAGAGAAAGGATTGGGTGCATCGCGGTTGTTTTTCATACGGTACTTTGTATCTTAACAAGCATTACGTGCCTCAGCAAAAGCAATTTAAGTGTTTATCATGATCATGTAGCCGGCCGTGCCTAATGGACAGTTACATGGTAAAGTGTCAGTAACAGTATTAATCTCCGGTAAAACGAAACGGAACACGAATCCATTACGGGCCAAATTCATTCTATAACGTTATAACCAACGTAATCTTCCGACAATTTCACCCCACTTATGCTCTACACTATTATCGGTGGGGGAAAGATACTGGCATTAGAGTCTCGGATATGCAAATAACACACAGCATCTGTTATAGATCACCATGCAGAGAAAAGTACGTATACGTAAGACTTTATGCATGAATGTTTAATCTTTGTTGGCTTAACAGAAGAACGCTAATGGACACTCTGTGACATGTAAATCCAGATCTATGACGCAAAGGATTATATCTAGGGTCACCTTGAAACAAATGGGTCAATGAGCCAGATTTTCTTTGTACATTATTCTGGAGCTACTCCGGATATGCCTGTGATGTGTAAAAACAGCAGCAGCCAGCAGGATATGACGTTTTGGTAGTTTCCTTGAAAGGGTCTGTTAGGCCCCCTTAATTTTCTGCTGTATGGAGGTCGTTGAGTGACCACTGAGCGACCCGAAATTGTCTTTGAATGACGTGTTAACCACGGTGTAACAGTACGATTTAAGACATGAAAATACACAAAAGGTACAAAATGCACTTACAATGCTATCCTGCATGTCTGTTGCATTTACTGTATGAAGAAAATGTTTTCGTGATCATCTTTGTCTTTGCATGTGCATACAAAACCGATTGCGAGCTAGATTAAAGTCTGTCCATGGCCTCTATTTACATTAGATTATACATTGTATCACATAAGTGTTTCGTGTCAATGACCTTAAGGTCATTCTTCCTATTGCTGTGCAACCGTAATACTAGTAACCGTATACATACACACCGTATACATTAAACAATCGCGAAACGCCGACTTCGTGTATCTCTCATATTGATTGTGCATGGAAGGCAACAATTTAAATTGAGATTTACTGTTCGGAAGCTGAGTGTATCTGATAGGAGCTGCTAAACATTTTTACTAGCTCTGATTTTCTAGAAAAGTGTCTTCCTACTCTGAACAAGCGTAAAATCAGCACCAGCAATGTGTCTGATGGTAATATATAAACATTGCAAGTAGGGAATCAGTTGGCAGTGTGATAAACTTGCAAGCATAAAATTTTTCGGAATGTCAGGTAAGATATATGGGTCCTCACGGACATTTGGGCGTTTCTTTGCTTTATACTAATTAGCGTCTATATGTACATGAAATGGCAAGTCTGAAACGATTCTGTAAAGGGATGATGTGTTGTAATTCTATCCTTTACCGTGTTATGACAAAAGGCATTAAACCTTTTGTAAGTACGCTACGCAGCAGTATGAGGGATGAAACAGTACCTCGCCATGTCAGGTCGACAAGTATAACCGATTTCAGTCAAATTAACAGCAAAACATTTTATCTTACAAAGAAATAACACGAATCTATTGGATTTCATTTACGAAAATCGCACTATAGATCTTGAAATACATTTTTTTGTAGTTAAGTCTAATTACGGATTTCTCTGTGATGCAGGCGATATTACGTGTCTATTGCCGCAAAGTGCATGTGATTCCTGTTTATTTCCCTACAAATTACCTATATTCAAGACTGCAGCAATATGATGCAGAGAGCAATTATACGTGCTCATACCGACATAGCATCTATTTGTAGGCGTCTTGACGAACAGCTATGGCGACACATAGAATACTAATAAAGGGTAGTAAAAGTAGACCGTAAGTTATTACATGGTTAGTGTCTTTGGCGGCGTTGCCATTAAGTTACATTTCATGACTGCGCAAAGTTGTGGACTTATTTCTAAAAACGTTCACCAGTCCCTCATAAACAGCAGGGAGGGAAAACGGCTGAGGTCGGACGATCCAGGACCTAATATGTGGGGCGGGGGAGTATTTGGAAAATAGCCCTCTTTTATTAAGAGACACGTGATTTCTTGGCTGTGCCCCGTCCAACGTCAGCGTCTTTTATGTGATAGTTTAATGGGCATTTTGGGTGTATAGTGCATGTATAATATAATTAATCTACTCATGTCATTTATTACAGATATTGTTGTTCCGTTTTGAACTATTTGCTATCATTGATATTGTAGCTATTGTTCCTATTATCATGTACAGGTCTTTTGCATTGTGTGGTCTTTTGCATTGTGTGCGTCGACAGGTAAAGGAACCATAACATAAGCTATGGATGTATCTAAATGTGATTGCGAACACACACGAATGCCACTCCTATTGTATTGACATTCCGGTTTAGTACTGGTGGCTTACATGTTATGTCCCAGTCTTTAGATATACCTCCTCGCTTCTCTTCTAAGCTAGGATCAACCCACAATTCAGAAATTCACCGGCAAATAGCGCCTATTTCACAGCCGGTAGTAAAGGGCACGAAGGCTGCTATCAAAGCTTTCTCACAAATTAAAATTAGTGATATAGGGGGCCTTTTTCTATTCTGTTGTATTTGTGCAATAGGGGGACGCTAAGTCATTAGAGGTTCTTAATGGTCTTCACGTGAGATCAATCCCGCGGGATTTGGTGCCAGGTCATGAACTGTGTGCATCTGACTGCAGCGTTCTCTGACACTGGATGTGTGCGGTGGGAAAAATAATGAACATCACAAAAGGGAGGGTCTACAAAATAGTGTATAAGCAACCGTGCAATCTACATGTACATGTACATCGTGATAGAGCTATTTTCTAAACACTAGAATTTATGCCTTTGAAGCCCTCTTTCGCAGGATTCTTCCAATAACCATGTTGTGCCTAATTGTAGCTCAAATTTGTATTTACCGACGCTTAGTTCTTCATAAGGCAAGTCTTTCATTTGGAAGACTGATGAAGGGAAAACTGGCAGACACCCGCTGAGACGTGCGTCAGGTGTCGTATTGTTAAGGAATACACTCCTCTCATTGCTGTAATAAATACCACGGTTTCAAAAGTCATTAATCTCAATACAGTAAATGCCCCTCTGCTAGAAAATAATCCCGCGTTTCAGGTACTAAAGGTAGATTCCCCTGTGCACCTTAATCAATATGGATGTGCGTTGCCATGGCAACTCCCGCCCTCGCGGCGCTGATAAAGCCTCCATGAGACAAATTGGGGCTTGACAAAGAGCTGTCTTTATGCAGCCGTGTTAGTTCAATACGGTTGGTCCAATTTGTACAGCAATATTGTCTCGCCAGAAAACGTGTAAAGAAAATAGTGAGCTTTTTCAAATAACGTATGACCTGCTGTGGTTAATTTTTCCTCATTAACTTCAGCTAGAATGGATCGTAAATGTCTAGAATAAAGCCCCTTGCATAGATGCTGGTATAATATTGCGGCAAAGACAGGCTTGGCCACTCTTGATGGCTGCTCTGCATACCGGTGCACGATATAGCGAAAATACCTCTCAAACTACTTGAAGCACTTCGCCGTGCGGTTTCAATGCGGAGAAAAACTGATGGGTCACGATAAGAGTGACAGGAAAATTACTGCGTGATGACGGAAAATGTGGTCGCCTGGAAATTACATCATCATCCCGACATACAGCTTGCAAGCACGATGAGCAGACGGCGGGAGGGTCAAAGGTTACGTATGATTGAATTTCAAGCCGAGAGATAATCGGCGGGAATGCTCGGGGTCGGGACAGCGCTGCTTTCCTCGCCAAACATCACCGGGAACGCGCCATCGACACAACTTCCGAGCGCGGCACCCAATCAGCGAAACGATAAGGATACGCGGAGCACAACTGTATGGCGGAGAGTGTTCTGTTAAAGAAGTCACGTACAGCGGCTCAAGAGAAACGCTGGACCAAACCTGCGGGGACAGACTTCGTTTGGCAGCCCGTTACCGCTGCAAGATGCTCTGGTACAAGTGGGTTCTACTCGGCATGGACATCTTGACGTGTTTTTCTGTCTGGGCAGGTAAGAAATATAGAGTATTTATCTTATCAAGGTAAGCGGGTGTGCAAAACAATTCATGTGATATTTGGGAGAACAACAAAAGAATAAGAATAGAGCTGATAGGTATCATTTCATGGTGGTCGTTTCGGCTAAGCAGTTGATCGTCGACGTCATACATCATTTATGGACTCAGTCATGTTTTGTGGCGTTCTTTTGTCAGGGTGACTGGGTAAGCCTGTAGATATCTTATGCGAGCAGGTTAAACCTGTGTTATGGGCGATGCGGTAGGGTAAAGTGTGCACTCAGTATGCTCCTTATCATTCTGTGTGGGGTGGCAAAGTGGCTTGTCACGCGATGTTGTCTGAGGCTGCTGTTGTTGTTGTTGAATGTTGCAGTATATCTGCTGCGGGTCCAATTTGCGTCACTTTTACTACATAATCAAACATACATCACGTAAAATATTTGAAAAACACCTCCTCAAATGTGTTTGCACATTGAGGTTTATTTTTAAACCTCTTCGGCCGGGCCATTCTTTTTCATGATGTTCCAAAGACCATCGAAGCGCGCCGTTCCGTGAAGGGCACTCCAGGCCACGACGTTTACAAAAGCTCTTTTGCAATTTTCTACATCAACCCGTAAATGCCCATTGAACATTTGCACTATAGAAGAAAGCGAAATGTTGGGCTCTTTGTGTGCGGCAGAATGGGCAAAATGGACCCATTTCTTTCTGTCAATTCCTGGCGTCTTTTCCTTTCAAGCCTTTACGACTTTTGTCGACACAGCAACAACTTTCGGTCGAATGTATGAGGAAACACAACTCTGCCTTTTGACGGTCGACAGTGACGCACACATGTAGGTCCTTCTGCCCCGCTGTGTAATTAATTACAACACACCTCTGGGAACTTCGTACAATAGACCGATAATAACGACTTAATCAAATTCAACTTTCTGACATGTTCAAGCTTCTGAGTACTAACTAATTTGGCACACATCAATACTAAGCTGGCCTACATCTAATATAACCTGATGGTGTCCCAGAGAGATGTAGGACTGGTTTGAATACCAGTGTCGCCGAAGACATATTACTCGGCCGAGGTTTAATCTATCCTGGTATCCATTCTTTCGTGTATAATGAATACAAGGATAGGTAGTTCCCATACCGTTTATCTCACGAGGAACACCACCACCTTCGTTACATAAACAAACGCTTAGCACAAATAAGCCTTAGGTTATTCCCTAAGACAAGATATTAGGATGAATTATCATATGGCAAAGTATCCAAACAAGGAACAGTTGTCAACCTCCCTAAGTAATTACAGACTTAACCTACCCGCCGGACAGGACCAGAGAACTAATCTTAGGAAATCTAATGAAAACAAAAACATATAGATGCTTAATCCACAACATAGCAAACATTTTGCCGATTTTGTAAGAGGGTAACGTCTTGTGTGAAAACGTCCGTGCAATCTTATAGGTCAAGAAATAAATGTTATTTTGTTATGAATAATTCTGTAGTTCTGCAATTTTCAGTTGTGTTTATTTTTTCTCATTTGTTTGTCCGTCTTTGTTTCAATAATCATTGGTAGACAGAAACAACAGCATACAATCCACATGGGGCACTTTATTCTACAAAGTGCTGAAAGCATCCCCATGAATATTGTGACGAAGATATTATATTGATGTACACATGACGGACAGTCTGTGTCTCCGTTTGGTATACCAGGAGAGGACGATTACAATTATCGTTAGCCAGGACTGAAACCATTTGCGAGGGAAGCATTCCTGGTAATTTGTTAACAGGCTACTTTCTGCACATTACACGCAGGGATAATGCGTACAAACACTTCCAATTGAACCTGACATTTGCAAACTATTACGCCTAGGAACAATATCGCACAGCTACTATTACGACAAATTAGAGTCACAGTCTGTGAGGGAACTACAGAATTGTCAATTCCACAAGGCTAACAGCCTTTAATTCGTGAAAATGTTCATTGGGGCTTTATCTGACAAGAGTTTATTCAAGGACGTTAACATTCGTAAGCGAAGGATGCAATTCTTAATGGACCTCTTCTTTGCGGCTGGAACTGGATCGTCGTAAGTGCATAATATATACTCTGCAGCATAGACTTGGCCAATAGTTTGACATAAATCAAGACGATGAACGACAAATTTTATTCGTAAACTGTATCATAAGGAAAATTGTACTTTTTAACTGTATCAAAAATTTTCCAAACTTGAAAGCCTTTCATCATCATACATCATCAATTTTTATGCATATATTCAAATGGAATAACGCAATAAAACATTGCGTAGGTTGCATCAGGAGCGAGCTACTCTGATATAATGTAGCTGCATGTAGACTGTTCTCTTTAGGAAATGACATTCGAACAGGACACCTAAACCTACATTGTTCGCATATTTCACTTTAAAATTTATTTCAAAGTTTGTTTGCTATTTTCTGCGAAAATGTATATTTTGTGTACACATACGCCATAATATACATATATGGAAGCCATATCATCATCATCATCATGTCGGGCCAAATATATGACCTGGAATTTGGTAGCGTGGGCATGTATATGGGCCTTAGTCATATTTCAGTATGAAGTAATTTCATTTTCCCAATCTTTCTGTTTATGCTCCATCATATAAAAGCAAACTGACCATAAATGTGGTCATGGATGCCCTAAAGATCTGTTAATGATTCTTTCTGATGTACGTATACTATTTGAAATTCATTTAAGTTATCTGAAGATTATGGCTACTGTTGCAAAATGTATTCATAAGATTCACATTATACATAGACCACATGACCTAAAATTTGTACGAGAGATGGGAAAGTTGTAATGTGAAATATAAAGTCCATTTTGCATGGCCATATGGAGAGGGAGTGGTGATATGCAAGAAATAATGCTGCATTTGCTTGCAAATGTTGCTTTTCCTGCATCGATATCACCAACTATCCACTCAGTAGTAGACCATATTCAAGGCAGGTACAAATAGAAGTACAGACAAAAATATAACCATGTATTGTGTGAGTGTGTGTAGTGTGTGTGTCACAGTGGGTGACCTATTTCTGCTGTGTCTGTAATACCGTTCCAGACACGTCACACTCGTTATTTGTAGGAACCTCTAAGATAATTACCCGCCGAGTATATGGCACCTGCGTCTGTTCTCCGTCGGGCGACTCATTAAACAGGCAAACAAAAGTGGATGACAGAAATGCACTATTATTATTTATGCCCTCATTAAAGATAAAGGTATATGTGACGTATTATGGCTGCGCCATAGAGAAGTCATCAAGAGGCCATATTTGAAAAAAAAGTCTGAGTAGAAAGCAGTATACCCTGACCCTGAGTGGGTTTAGATCAACATGCAGCTATGACAGACTGTACCAATTGGACTCTTGATAAATGTCTTCATTTGAAAACGCTTTGACTAAAACTTTTAGAGTTGAAAAAAAAAGAAATGGCTCACGTTTTCTATACCTATATTGGTGGCGGGGAGTCGAAACTGCTTTTAAAGATAAGGTTTTCGTTCATTACTTATACAACGCTGTAAAAAGAAAAAAAATAATTTTCCAGTTAATACCTCAAATTAGAGAAAGAAAGGTAAAAGTGACTTAAGTAGAAATGACTATAATTAAATGAAGGATGGGTCGCCATGTCTTCTAAAGGCAAAGTTATCAAATGTGGGGGTTAATAATTTAGCGATCTCATGATGATATTTTCTTATAATCCATAAAGAATCCTACAGTAACGTGTCTGTGGATCCCGTCTGACAGCCTGTCCCAGCCGAGCTCCTGTCTGATTGATAGATGTGACCCTTCCCCTTTGACAGCATAGTGCATGCATAATGGATGATGTTTTGTCTTGCCTTGACAGCTCACGCCCTTAAGATGCTTTGACCCTTGAATAGCATGTTAACCATTATCAGACTCAACCATCTCGTGATTATCTGCTTCTTTCACTGTTTATTGTGCTGGTGGTTGATCCCTCCCAAGGCCTTCATGAATAATTGATAACACCCTTTCCGTCCTCACCTTTTGAAGGTGAACATTTTACATTCAGAAACAATCTGACCTTGTTGAATGCGGAACAACCACATCGTTCGGGCAGATCATGTTGGAAAACATGTTTTTTTTGTAGCGGATTAAAGGCGGGCATGTGAATAGCGCGTAAAGGAACACCGACTATCAGTCACGACTTGTTGCAACAGAGAGTGCAATGATCGCGAGACAAGACAGAACGAATTGGGTATCATCGTGGCGCAAACTACTACTAATTGGTCCACAGACTTAACGTGTAGAATTTCCTGGGTAATTGGTCGGCTCATGCGCGACCTCTGACTGAAACGCCACAGGTTTCAGACAAGCTGGCTCTGTCGATGCCTACTTAGAATTCATAACTTAACTACGCTTCTTACGCTACTGCTAAACGTTTTTAATTGGATTCACTAATAATATATTTAGTAGGCCAGGGATCGCGCTGCGACAGCCAATTTTATGTGTGCCCAATGTACAATTGATATGGCTAAAGATATGAAAGTATGATTTGAAAGAAAAAAGCACAGAAACCGTAAAAAAAAAAACATCGTTCGTTGAGCGATCTGACACATCTTTGGTCGCCATACGGTCGCAGTTTGGACATCTGCAACAGACCATAATCTGGAATGCAATGATGTTATTTATCAGTCTCTTTGTTCGGCCTTGTATACTCTAGTAGGCAGAATCTTAATTTGTTGATCAGGCCCAATGGCTGACAACTTGTAAGTTTTATATGTTCAAAAATATACTTTCATTGATTCCCAAGATAGTCTATTGCCAGCTAACAGATATGTCCAGATGGAAATTATCTATATGTTTGCACTGAATGAATATATATATAGAAAGAGACGAAATTACCAGGATTTAGCCAGGCGAGGGTCGGTGAAACCTCTCCCTTTCCGAGAATGCTCGACGCTGTCGCCACACTTCATCACATGTCACCATTGCACCTGTACGCGATGTAATCACCAGGAAAAAGCAATTTGCAGAGGTTGTCTATGGCATGGGGATGGGAAACATGACTCAAAATCCCATTACCCTCCCTTGAGTATCATTATGCCACGGGCCCAGAAGTCAATCCCTTTTCCAAGAACCCCGGAAGGAGGCAATGATGAAAGTTTCGCCAAGTCATAGCCCTATCTTTCAAAATCAAACTCCACTCGAATGTCTTAAACTTTTTAAAACATGAACATGAATAGCCTATCTCTAGCGAAGTTATCATGATAACTTAGTGGAAAGTGCAATTATTTCCCAACCAACGGTGAAGATTTCCTGTTATGAATGTCATGTTTTCGAGAGGCGACGCCTGCATTAGAGAATGTAAGTTATGCTTCAATCTTAGCTCCAATGAGATTTTATACCTATACATTTATCAGTAGAATTGGTTCACAAATCTGCGCACACTCGACAAAAATAGCTCAATCAGTATCCGGACAGGACTTTTGTCGTCTTGTTAGACACCTAATGAATTTGACATGCTGCCAAATACTGCTGAGCTAGCTATTCGACGCGGGATTTATATGTTCATGAAATTGGTTGGGACACATATTTGTTTGTCTAACTCAGTTCACAGCAGTGATTTTTTTAGCAATATTGTAAAGCATGGCCCGCGCGAGAAATACGTACATGATTATTACAGCTTACATGTTAAAACGTGATCAGCTAGCTACATGTATATAACAGTCTAACCACGTACATGGCTGGGCGTAGTTCAAACATGTTTCCGAAAAGATACGTCTTCTCCTGACAAGTAGACGATATTTGACCACCATGCATAGATTTTTGCGATGACATAAGATAAAACTGACGCCTGTGACGTGATGGTAAAAAGATGTTATAGTAATATCTAATACCCGTCATGCTGCATAGTTTCTTGTATCTTTCATCACTTTCTGGCACGGAAGTTTTGTTTCGGGTGGCTGAGCCGTGGGTTTGTCTGTCTTTCTGTTCTAATTAATAATAACCTGTTGCATGGCGGGTGGGAGGTGGTTTCGACAGTTGATGGAGAGGGAGGCCATCATGTAGGTGACTCTTCATGCGCATGTGGAAGAATTCCGGAAGTGATATAATAACCCGATTGAATTACATCACCTACACAGTACACAAAAAGAAAAAAAAATATCGAATCAGGTGGTCAGGTCACGAAAACCTAAAAGACTTCTCGGGAGTCTGGAATCTCTTCTTCTCCTGAGACGCTGGGGGTATTCGCTACCGACTTCAACTTGTCACACAAGCGTTTCCACTTATATTGGAATTTATGAAGCAATTCGACTCATGGAACACAAAGGTTCATGGCCGGATGTATCGTGAGATTCAGATGTTCTCAGTTGCAAAATGACGTCAATTTACCATCGCGAGCTTTCAGTTCTCATATCGCCATTTTAACGTTATGAGGCAAACTGCCATTTCAACTAAAAACACGTTTCTTTTATACGGCAAAAAATCGATGCAGATTTAAAGTCAGCATCACACCAAATCAATGCAGATTTACTCACTGGCGATTTATTGTACCGTTGACAAATTGATGCGCGTATTGGTTGGGTGTGATAAGGGATTGGTTCCAGTTCCAGATTTACAGTGATATATACAAGACGATTTTCAAGGTAAAAATAGAACTTACGAGCATTAATATTGTCAGACTAACATATGTATCATAGTGAAACAAATTTAAACATCCAGATGCTTAATGCGACATAAATATGACTTTAGTCAAAATAAGTTTAAATGTATCTTCAAACACATTATTTGCTCAACATTTCATAAGTGCAGGGAAATGGTCTTGCTGAGGAAATCAATCAATCATAAGTTTGAAAAAGAAATACGGACATATGACCTCAAGATTTCCATTCCACAAGACCACACATATGAAGGATCATATTCACTTCGTCGGGATCAACTACACCGTGACCTGAACTCTAAACGAAATGTAACAATTTTCCTCCTAGCACTATAGCAGGAAATTGAAAGCTGTGCAAATTCCTGGAAGTGCTTTCAACTTTCAGAACCTGACTTACCCATGACTTATGACGTAACCAACATCGCAAATCCCTCATCTTGCGAGTATTCATCGCAAAGATATGTTATCAGTGAAGGTCTTCCACACGAAGGATGTACATAATGAGAAACACATTTTATCACCATGCCCAACAAATGACCTTCTAGATCTTTCATAAGACCTTTCAGTTATACAGACCACCTGAGTGTGGCCTGTATAAAACCATGTACGCTTTTTGTCACAAACTAACTGCAATAAACACTTCATATATTTACTTCCGGGTATAGAAATGCTGTTTTGGGTGGCTGAGCTGTGGGTTACGTTGTGTGTCTGTTTTTCCGGACAGAGTAAGTTGATAGCGCGTGTGTAAGAGGGAAGGTTAACGGGCAGAAAAGCAGGAGATCCGAATGTCAGAAATGAGAAATTGGCTGAACTTACAGTCACGAAAACACAAAATAATTGCCTGGTATCAGGAATCTCCGATTTCGTGTAACAGTTATGAATGTTTTGTGCTCTCTTGTAGGACCAATACCAACACCTTCGACACGCAGCATTACCAGACATTCCCACTGGGAGAGCACCACAAGGAACAGCCATAGCGTGACTGCCACCAGAAACAGCCACAGTGTGACTGCCACTAGGAAAACTCACAAGGAGAGCACCACGGGGAACGGCCACAGGAAAGGGACACCGCGGAGAACAACGCCCAAACACGAACTTCCTCTTGCAGCCAAAAGAACACATCACTCCACAGACTTTACCTCCGAGGACTTCATCACGATCCCGAGAAGAGATCTGCCGCAGATGTGTGAGAAGTTGAGTCGAGACTCCTCTGCCTACCCCGACACCCGGTCCCACCCGCCCGTGTTCCTCCCACTGGAGGCTACTGCCCCTGGTAAGTATCACGGCTGTGCTGTTAGTGTTACACCCGCTTTCCGCTAGTGGCTGCGACCGCCGGGCGACCGATGCCAACCAAAGATCCTACAGTTTCCTCAGCGAAAGTCATGAACAAAAAATGAATTCTTTTACTTTTGTGTGTTCAAAATTGTCTAAATAATGATTTTCCATCATATTCTAATTATAGAGTAAAGGGTTACAAAAATCCAATTTTGGTCGCTCAGCGATCGCCGTGTAGTGGAAGGGGGGGGGGGGGCGTATCGACGCCACAATATAAAATGATTCTCTTGTTTTATCGGGCAATCACCCCAACCCCCACCTAGAGGTCTTAACTTCTATATGCCAATTACCCTGTATACCCTAAAGGGTACTGTAGGGTGATCATAAATTTTACTTGCTCATTTGATTATTACGCCAATTAAAACCCCAAAGAATATGAGATTCTCTCCGAAGGGAATGAGAAAATTAGTCCAAAGTTTACTATCAACATTGGCAGCCCGAAGCTAACCAACTCACCTGATAAACTGTAAAGTGGAATATATTCCAGTCGCTGCAATAGAATAGTAAACATCATACAGAACTTTAAATACTCTATTTACATGCCCATAAGTGATTTGTCTCATTTTTCGTTAGAACATTTAAGATCGCAGTCTTAAGGAGAGGAACACACATCCATTACCAACACCTGGGTTTATACAATCAAGAATAATAAATGATTGTTGGGAGTTAGGGATTATTGTATTAGTATATCATCTATCATTTGTGGTCTAATTACTTCAAAGTTAGATCGTGCAGATAATATAGAGAACCTGCCATTGTGAATGGGAATCGGGTTTACATTGTCTATTGTATCCAGAATCGCGTATCTTGTCCTGTGCCTGAATGCGTTAGGGCCAGGATCAGGCACGGTCTTGGATTGTCTCCGAGCGTATCCGAGAACGCGGATGTGTGTGCACGGTTTTGGATACGCGTGAACTATCCAGAACAGTGCTGCTGAGCATGGTTCTGGTCGGATAAAGCATGGCGCTGAATACAACAGTGTCATCTTGAACAAGTCAGTTTGAAGTTTCGTCCCTGTCATGGTCTTACACCTACTCACAACCGTTTTCCGCGGTTGCTTATCAGCCAACATAAATAGCCACCAGCTTTATAATCCCAAAGCCTATCTCAACGGTAATTGGGCAGCTAACGCACGATGCATTTTCCACCGCCGACGCGCAAAGTGGATCCTGGCTGGGTTTTAACACAAGTACATTCCATTAGAGACGGTGCCTTGTGAATTTGCAGGGAGCTTGTAAAATGAACTCAATTCTGTTTGCCATACCTTCAAGGCAAGTATGGACAACAGAATGTCCATCGTCTAAACTCTGTGTAAAAACATACATTAGCTTATCACACATATTTCTAGCATTACCCATTTACACATGTTTTTAAAATGTATGTTATATTCAAAAAGATGTATGAAAACATTGAAAGTGCATACACGACCTTTTGACAGTGTTTCTTCATAGTAAGGAACCATTTTCTAAAATACATAATAGCACACAGAGGAAAGATGCGTAGACGTATTTCCCCTGTTGTGTGTCCTGCATACTGATTATATAACGGTGCTGTGAGATCGTGGTGCACCTATCATGTGCCTCCATCTTGTTATTGAGGTATGTAGGTAATAATCACAATCAGTTCCGGGGATCTGTGTTTGGATATTTGTATTTCAAGATAGCTATCTTAATTACTATGTGTGTCGACTTAGTCTCTAATTTTCAATAAAGTAGGTGCATACTTACCTCAGGTGCCAAATACATTATTGAATGAATGCTTGCATGCAAGTGAGTTGCATGGGAATATCTAAAAATTGTACTAATTGTAACCGTGAATGATTTCATCATGTTGGTGAATGATTGAACATCAAAGTTCTTTATTTACAACCAGTGATCGTCTACCTGTCATCTCCATAAGGGCAATTATGACTGGTTTACTGTGCACTAAAGTTAGATGTTGCTTGTTCGCTGTGCAGTGACGCTAGGTGTTGCTGCTAACAATGCAGTCATTAAGTAATTCTGACGTTCATAGATGTAGTTGCAACAATAGTGAGATATGCGGTTTCAAATGTAAAACATTGCTATATACAATATATGCTGTTAACCAACAATCCTGAGCTAACGAGGCCCCAAATTTTTTACTAATTGTTGTTTAGTAATCATGATCTGTAGCGTTATTTGATTCGACACATTTTTCTTCGATCACATGGTTTTCATCGTCAAAACTATTTTCAATATATGAACAATGAATGAAAGATACGAGGTAATTAACTAATAAGCAAATATAAATTGTGTGAGTAAAATGTTGTATTTCTCATTAAAACGACTTCTCATAGACGGTTTATGAAAATAGAACACTTATGTGTATTTATGGAATCTTGTAAATGATAGAGAAAACTTTTGTACATCGTTGCATCGGATGTTGTTCAAATAATGCGAAATTTATGGCATCATTTGCGGCTATCTAAAAACACGTTATTGAACATAGCAAATACCCTGACATCCAAGGAGCTATCACATTAGTCTTCATCAATTATAATATGTGTTAGCCTAGCATGGCGCCTACATTGTTACGGCTGATCAAAGAGAGACGCGTCGCACAAACCACATTTTGAATAAATATGAAAAATTTCATAATAAAACATACTTAATCGTGATGTAATACGATGCCCAGATTAAGCATGTGATAATGTCTGTATGAATTTTTACGGGAAGGCAAAGTAATTTGATAACATACATGTAAACCTTTTACTATTGCTACACAACTTGACAAGAACGACGTTGGAATTTCATTTCGTGCGGCGGTACGGTATTGTCTGTGATATCATATCAGCATGGGGATGGTTGCTTGCACGGGGCGTCGTGATTCATGAATGATATATTTCACACCCAACATTGTGCTAGTTGCATATCTCGCTCTGTTTGTAGGCAAGGTAGGTATCAGCAACACAAATTGGATTTATTCTAAATCCTATTAACGTCTGTCTGAACGCAACAAGATCGGTTCCTGTTTTGTATCGCCACAACACCTTCAAAATCTTTGTAGCGATTTAAAAATGTACTGGTGTGAAGAGTTTTCCAAAATGCTACCGGATAGTGCAGTGTACCTAAGCTAAACATCAGCAGATATATTTTTCGATTGAATAGTGGCTGGGAGGTGATTTCAACAGTTGATTGTAGAGAGGTTACGCCTCAAGTGGGTAGTGTATATGGACGAATTCAGAGAGTAGTGTAATACCCGATTAAATTACATCATATACAATCTACTAGTACGGAGGTCTGTAACCTCGGATTTCCGTTTAATTATGATATACAGCAAACAGCGAACAATCTCGGACGGTCGCTACAGTACATTTGTCTGCATACGCGCTGATCGTGGTTTCAGCTGCTGCAGACATTTGGCGCTTGCAAGAAACCTTACCTAACCTTCACAAGCCTGACTGACACTGGGTCAGGCTACCCTACCCCGCCTCGCCGGGCTTGGCGAGGACAGGCTGACCCAGTGGCGGTCACCGGTGATTGATGTGAACAGGACACCTCTTATGTGGTGCCTGATTAACGGCGTGGGTAGGCCCTGATTGATCGGAGATAGCAAAGCAATTAGATGCAACAAATTAGAGAAGGATGAATTTGATTTTGATATTTGATGAATAGCTTGTGTCACATTCGTCTTACGTTGCCGTACGATTTTGATGCCGTAGCATTTTCCAACTGGCTGTGACAGAATAAATCACCGACAAGGATCAGAGATAAAAAGACAACTAAATTTTGCACGACTCATGTACGTCACGATTATCTCTCTCAGTTTGCGGCCGTACGACGATCGTGCGATTAATGCGACCGTATCACTGATAAAGATTAGCACTCAATCATGTCAATGATGTTTTTGGGGTGTTGTGATTCAGGGCGCTGATAATGCCATTGTCTTCATTTCGTCGAGGCCCGTTAAATTTTGGGGAAGTTTCGCCAAGTTTCGTACAGCTTGGCAACTAAAACTTTCATAATGAGAAAATAAAAAAGCGTTTGGCAACGGTATGGATTATATCACACAGGAAATATGTAGTTTTGAATGTAACTGATGAAACTGCAGGCACTCGTGTGACCATTTATCAGCTAAAGTTATGTCGATATGTACGCTGCGAGCTGTGAAAAGAATTGTATCGGAAAGGTCACACGTACATGTGCCAAAGACCCTAAGAAACGTGTGATGTACACATTTGTGACGGATATCGATATTAAAGAGAAATATTCGACGCGGCCGCCTTTCAAACCTCTCATTATATAGATGCAAAAGGAAATCAGCAATATCACATCCGCACCATTCGACCTCACATGGAAGTCAAAGAGGTCAATCACTGAGCACGTCGATCATACAATGGGCACAGGTTTGACACTTCTTGCCGATTTCCGCTGATTAGAGTACCTTAATTATCACTGGGCATTTTGAACACGCGTCACAGCGGCCTTTAAAGTGTTGATGTACCTCGAGCTCGCAGACTAGGCACAGGATTTCATGCATAAGAGTCGTGTTGGATGACACACACGCTTTCGATATCTAGTCTGGAAGCTTGATCTTTTAGTTATCAGTAAGCTCGTGACAATATGTTTGTCACCAATAACGTAGTCCTGATGTATATTTCTGTTTTATCACAAGCCACGACGACACTTCAAGCGACATCGCCAATGCCAGGCGCAACCTCCTCTAAGTTTGGATCAAGTACGCCGTGGGTGGACGACTTGGGTGGCAAGAGACACTTCCGAGTTGTAACTGTACTGGTAAGTAAAATTATCTTACTTAAATTTGTATTAAAAATAAACAAAACATAATTCTGGTAATTCTGTATCATTCCTAAATAGACACATGCATGACCTTTTTTGTCCTTCAGGACTCGCCTTTCACAATGGTGGAGAAGAATGAGTCCGGAGGGTATCGGTACGTAGGGTTCTGTGTGGATCTTATCAACGCCATAGCGGATCATCTAGGCTTTACGTACGAGCTGTACGAACCGCCAGACGGCCAGTACGGAGCGGAGAAAGACGACGGGACGTGGTCTGGCATGGTGGGAGAGCTCATCTCCGGGGTGAGACAACTACCTGTGACATTTTGTGTTCCGATTTTGAAATAATGACAACCTCTTTAGAAAATGGATGTTTGCGGTTACTGCATCACCTTGAACTTAGTGACTTGACATCAATTCTGCATCAAATTTTACATCAGCGGGCAAGATAAAGTATAAAACATGACCTTAGATCTTAATCTACCCCCTGCCTGTTCTGTAGCACATCGCCGCCCTTTTGTGTGCTTTTGTCATTCCCTCTTTTCTCTGTGCCAGTATTCTTTCTCTTGTAAACACTACCACACCCTTTTGTTTGGTTCGTAATAAATAGTTTGCTTTGTTGTTCTATCCCTGTCTGTATTAAGTATAGAAGCTATGTTAAAATCTGTATATAGGCTTGAATTTACATCGAATATCAATTTTATATTACTGAAAATGCACAGATTATCTTTGTACATCCTATTCCATCACAGCTGAGATATCTTGGTTCGTCTTATGTAGACTGATGTCCTGACTATGTTTTTCCTTTTCCCATGACAGCGGGCTGACATTGCTCTCGCTGCAATGACAATCAGTTCAAAACGGGAGAAGGTCATCGACTTCACTGCTCGGTATATGGACTATGGTACTGGCTTAATCATGAAGAAGTGAGAGATTTTTCTTTCTGAATATGTTCTTTACGAAAAATGTCCATTATTTGTTCCAAACGATCAATACCATGGGTGTCCCCCTCCCGCTGATAAAGCTTACTCTTTTGTGTAATCAATCTATGCCTGCCTGATCATCATTTCTATATATATTATGAATATTTGATTTCAAGAATACAGATATCATCTAGTGCGTACAGTATATCGTATTTCTATGCCAGATTCACATTCACTAGATCAACAGTGATCAGTTTTAACTCGTACTTGCTGCAATGTTTTAGCACTCTTTGAATTTCGTGGGGGAGACCCCGCAGTGAGGATGCCATGTATCTTACAAGCCCAATTTGTTACCAATCAATAAACATCTGTAAACAGTCACTGATACACGATGTACATGTACGGTACAACGCCAGTTTGACTATGGTCTATACTCATCGGTTTATTTGTTTCATCTAGACCCAAAGAAGGCAGCCGAGAGCTGTTTGCATTCTTCCTACCGTTCGAGATGACCGTCTGGATCGGAGTCATGGCCTCCATTTTCGTTGTTGCGGTTCTGCTGAGTCTCACAAGTCTCGTGAGAGTCAAGTTGAATCTCGTGGATCACTCTCGGCACGAAAATGACGCCGATTTCGATCTAAGAAACAGCGCTTGGTTCTCCTACGCGTCACTTCTGAGAAAAGGTTAGTGGACAGGGAGCTAAAATATCTCATGCTAAGTTCAGATAACAACACTATGCTGTCCATTGAGTATCCTACTGAATCATGGCGCCGCTGGTGCTTCAGGTGCTAGTGGCGCCCTTTTTTTGCAGTCTAATGTAAAATTCCCAGTTACAACAGTAACGTAGCTTTTATCTTTATCATACGGTGAGTGACGCTTGTTGAAGAAGTATGCAGGCAATCTGTACACGTCAGCCCTGCATTACTTTTATATGGGAATGACATTTGAGTGCAAGGTCCCTAATAAGACATCACAGGGCAACGGTAGTCATATTGACTCAAAAGTTGTTCCTCGGTCCTCAGAGAACGTTTATGGCTGCCGGCTTCTAAAGAAATGATTCAATTTTGTATTGAAATGAAAACAAAATCAATCATACGAACTAAACAACATTCATCATTCATCAACATCAGTAAGCGTTAATCAGGTGATCAACTTAGAACAATCAAATGCAACATTGTTTGAAATCAACGTTGATCCTTCAATTAAAATATATGTTGTGCGTTCAACACTACGAATGCTAAATATTAAGATGAATTAACCTTGATTTTTAGAATTTTTACACGTTCAAAGGGTTAATGAGAGTTGTCTTATATTAATGAATGAATGGATTTTCAAGACCCTTATTGTACGCAAATACCCACTGGGTTCAGTACAGGTCACATGAAAGACGTCACAGTTTGCAATGAATATATACAATGTACAAGCTAGTGCTAATTCTATGTACTATGGACATATAGTCTAATAATTACGATAATTTGGCTTCTTCTCGCTTTTTAGTAACGATGTAGATATAAGTACAGATGTGTTTTATAATCGAAGGTTTGATTAATATTCTGCAGGTGTTGAGCCTCAGCCGAGATCAACCCCAAACCGTATCCTAGCGGGTGCCTGGTGGCTGTTTGGTCTCATCGCCATCTCAACCTACACGGCCAACCTCACGGCCTTCCTGACCGTCAAGAGACTGGAACAGCCGATCAGATCCGTGGACGATCTGGTCAAACAAACAAAAATCAAATACGGCATCCCGAAGGGCGGGAGCACATACGCCTTCTTCCAGGATCAACAAAGTAGGTCGTCATATTCTTTGCAAACATGTTTTGACTTCTATGATCTCCCATACTGCTTTTTGTACGAAGTTTGCAGATGACTTGTCATGTGGGTATTATTTAGATATAGGTATAACAGCTTGGTCCCTCTCGTGAGTTATTGCCAGTGACAACCGACAAATTTGTCTGTAAAATGGCAGCCGAATTTTGTACGTTTTGTATTTTGCATATCCACGACCGTCCCAAGAATACCTTCTGCAATCGTACAATGCTCGTACGATGACGATGAACGGTCCCTAAAGGATTAGAATATTTTGTTGTGTATTCAGCCACAGGTACAGTCTATGAACTGATGTGGAACTACATGAACGCAGAGGAAACCATGGTGAGGAACGTTCTGGAGGGGATAAAGGAAGTAAAGGAGGTGAGAAGAATATAAGAAGAATGTAAGACTCCAGCTGATGTCCATTCGGATCAAAGAACACTCATGTACGATATGTATGCCTGTTAGACAGTTGCTCTACATCGAAGAGCTTCCACTGACGTTGTTGATTTATGTTGAGACATTACATTGTATCTAGCCAAGAGATCGTTCCAGTCCAATAGGGGCTGCACGAGCAACCTCCATGGAGGAGCTCTGCGGAGCTCCTCCATGGAGGTTGCTCGTACAGCCCTCCGCGATACCCCCCGCAGAGCTCTGCGCCTAAAGAAGTCAATTCGTTGGTTGGCGTCGCTGTTCAGTTTTACTTTCACCTCTTTGCGCTCTGCGCTCAAAACAAGTCAATTCGTTATGGCTGGCGCCACAGGTCCAGTTTTGTATAGAGCTCTTGGAATTTTAAGCCAGTTCAATGTGACTACTAGGCTTTGTAACGTACCAGGGTACCGCAGAGCTGGCTATTGCTGCTCTGACAGGTCGGGTTCAGTCGGTTTCAAGCTTGCAGTCAATAGCTCTGCGCCGAAACAAATCAATTCGTTGGTTGGCGTCACCGCTTATTTTTGGTTAGACCCTTGTGAGCGGTTCAGTTTTGCTTTCAACTCTTTGCGCTCTGCACTTAAAACAAGTCAATTCGTCATGGCTGTCGACACAGGTTCAGTTTTCTATAGAACTCTGAAGATATCAAGTTAATTGAATATGACTATTAGGCTGAACAGCCAGTACTCTGTCACAAATAAAGACTTCGTCACGCAACTCTGCACAGGACTGCTCGCTCAACTCTCCGTCAGCTCTGCGCCAAAACAAGGCAATTCGTTGGAGCGCAAAGAGGTGAAAGCAAAACTGAACGGTGACACCAACCAACGAATAGTCAAGTCAAAGTTTATTGCACAACGATTGTCACGGGTACAATGTATGGCAAATGATAAGATTACTAGTTGGTATGTGTCTAACATAATGCTATATATATGGTCAACGGACATTGTATCTGACAGAGTATTATAAATAGCTACTGGCTAGAGAATATTTCGACTCTACATGTACATTCTACATTACGCTAGACTATACACATGAAGGGTACAGTGAGCAGTTGTACCTAATTATACTAAACATGTTCTATGGCTACTAAACAGTGTATACTAAGTTACTTGCCAGGAATGTTAAGATTCTACATACAAATGCTACGAAACGCTATACTATATACATGTAGTTGATAAAAAATTCAGTGACTCTACTTATACAGCTATTCTAAGATGTCTTTTTTTCATGGCATTATAAATGTATTGACCTATATATATATACAGAAAATGTGTTTGGACATGACATAAGTATATGGAACGTCTCTCTAGATGTGTTGGGTAATGTTTTAGCAGTCTTACATCGGATCTTCTGCATTAATTTGTGTCTCTCTTCGTCGTATGTGGGGCATGTCATCAGAAAATGATATTCGTCTTCAAC